TAGCTATCAGTAAAACAGATATCCCTCTATTAACTCTGCTGAATAGCTATGTCTAAAGTAAAAAATGCAGTCTTTCTCATTAGAATTATCTGCAGTACAATTCTAAGCTGACATATGTCTATGGTAGAATGTAATGCATCAGCACTTAGAAAGTGAGAGCATCTGCTTGTTAAACTTAACATTTCAAATGTCTCCTTAAGCCATCATACAAAGCAACCAGGTTCCTTTCTTAAGAAAAAAGTTAATACCGTAATACGATTCAGTGTACTCTGAATTCTTTCCACAGCGTTGCAATCCTTACAGTACCTTGGTGACAGAAAGCTTGAACTGTGGTTTTATTTAGCTTTTAAGATTCCTCATATATTAATTTAAGAAACCTTTACAACAGTCAGCCACTGTATAGGTTACAAGGCCCTAGAATACTTTTGTTCCTTGTTGGTGTTGTTGATTAATTTGACTAGAATTATGCAGTTAGATATTTTGCTTACTATTGGTAGATGCAATGGAGACTTTTTATGCTTTTATCTGGGTAAAATGCAAATACTGTATTTGGTTTACAAGAAAAAAATTTAAAAGCATGTTAGGTCAGTATTCAAAAGTGAACTAGAAACTTGGGCTTCTAAGTCATTTAAGTATGTTAAAAATATTACCCTTTATTTCATAGTGGAAGTACTAATTATAGTGTTTTCATTTTTGTTTTTCAAGGTACCCAGAGAATGGTATAGTAGAAATGGAAGCCAGTAATCTTCGACCACGAGCAAGAACCATTCTGAAGTGGAGCGAACTAAAAGTGGGTGATACGATGATGGTTAACTACAATGTAGAGACTCCAGAAGAGAGAGGATTTTGGTTTGATGCAGAAATTACCTCTTTGAGGGAAATCTCAAGGACTAACAAAGAAGTTCACGCCAAAATTCTTTTGGGGTAAGATTTTATTGACCAGCTTTGAAAGAACACTATGCTGGGGGGAAACAAGTCACACCTTTCTCTCTCTGTCCACTAAACTTTGTCAGCAACCTATAACCTGATTTTCACAGCTGTCTGGGTCATGGAATTACTTTTTTTTTTTTTTTTTTTGGCTGATGTAGCCTTTTTAAAAAATGGTGTAGTAAGAAACTATTTATTGGTTGGTCCTGGTAATTCACTCTGTTTTAGGGGATTAATCTTATGTGACTCCATCAAATCAGTCTACATCTTTTCTTCAATACTATCCAGACAAAACTGTGCATTTTCAGTAATTTTTTGAGCCCTTGGGGATTTTCAGATCCTAATGGATGTCAGTTATCTCTGGCAATTTGGTTGGACTTCTCACTGTGATAACTGAATATTCAGATTCAAAACCTTCCATCAGAAAGGTATGGTTTTTAGTGGATAATTATGTAGCTGTTAGTAGATTCAAAAAAAAATTCTTTTGAGATTACTGTGTAGGTGAATCTTGCTGGTTCTCTTTGCTTCTTACATGAGGAACTCAAGCATAGCTTTTTGAATATGGAACAAACTTCTGTGAAAGTCAGTAGCACAGAACTTTGAGGTAAGCAGCAAAAGTACCTTCTCCCCCTCTCTGCCCTCTGAGTGCTACAGCATGGAATAACAAAGCTGTATATTAGTTTCCTGCTGAATTTTGGGAGTTTGAGCAAAAATCAGTATGCCTTTCTTCACTCCAGAGCACAGCCTTTTGGCCTTGAGGGTTAGATAAGTGGCACAGAGTTGATGTGCAGGCTGGATCTGTGAGACTAGCCCATGGGGTTGGGCCTCATGCTGTCCCAGCCTTGCATGCCTGATCTAGCACACAGGACCATGCTATCTGGCCCTTCAGACTGCCCATGGGAACAGAAATTTGGCAGAAAGGGAGCAACAGTTAACACTGCTGCTGCTCCTCCACTGTCAATGTTTTTGCCTGCCAGATAACTTGGCTCACGGGCCAGGGATTGAGCACCCCCTGCTCCAGAGTATTAACATGAGAGATTTTCTCTAACAACTGTTCTCTTGCGTTTGCCTCTGAAAGCTGAAATGCTTTTTATACATTCTGGAATGTTTTCCAGATTAGAATGATTTGTGAGCATTATAGTTAAATGCTTTACTGTATATATGCTTCTAACATAAATATTAAATAAATATGTTATACTATAACAATGCATTCTGAACGTAGATATTTCTTAAGGATTATTGGTATAGAATTCATTTTCTTTATATTTCAAATTCACATTTAGTAAAGCTAAATCTTTTGGACATGTCAGTGAAACTGTGGAAATAATTTGTTTTGTCCAATTTATTAAGAAATGAGAGATGTATAAATAGATTTTATTGCCATCCGCCTTCTACTAAGATACCTTAATGGTCTGAAATCTTAATTTATGGACTTGGTCAAAAATTAGTTTGAGGCTAACCCTGGCATAGTTGTAGTTCTTGTTCAAGTGATTATCTATACAGATTCTACTCTTGGTGCATATGTTCACCATGAAAAAAGAGAGTGAATTCTTTTGGGCTAACTGTTTTATGGAAGTGCCTACATGCAGCCACATGGAGCAACTGGACTGAAAGAAACCATGAGCATACCAAGCTCAGTGTTTCTACCAAACATGACAGAATTAGAATCCCTGTCAGCATGCAGTTTTCTTATATTGGATAAGAAGAATGAATTGATCCAATAACTTAATTGTAATGTTATAATTTGTTACATAATCTTTTTGTACATGGGCACATGTTCAAATTGAAGAAACTTCACTGTTTTTGCAGTTTAGTTCAATTGAATTTGATCTTTGCCTACTCTTCTGCCTCCTGTGCAGGGGTACTGGTGCTGCATTTGACAGAGTTTTACAGCCCATAGCCCTTATTCAGCCTATGGAACAGTCTCATCTAGCCTGCCAGTAGTTTGATGGGCTACCAGAAGTTTGGGGTCTTGGTCTGTTGCAGAATTCACCCAATGTACATGGCCGTTGGTGGCAACCCTCTGGACCTGTGTTGTCATCTGGCCCTGGACCTGTTATGTTGCCTGAATGCAACCATAGTTGCTGCTGGCTCTACAGATCTGGCCTTTGAGGAGCTCCCATGTTCTGAATCCAGCTTGTGGCCTGTGGTTTACCTTTTTGTGATGCAGCATATGCCTCTTGCTTTGCACTGAGGAAAGATAGATTAAAGAACAAAATAGTCTGGTATTGTACCTTTTTACAGAGTGCCCAGAAGGCAGTGGAGTTAAGGCTGAAATGTTTCCTTCTAGGGAAGCTGATGCAGGTCTGCTCTGATTCAGATGAGTCTTGGAAGAAGCCACAAGAAACAGACCTGTCCATGACTGTTAAAACCTAGTGTGCTTGACTCCAGTCCAGGCTTCAAGGCACTTTTTGTAGGTGCTACTGCATCCATTTCAGCATCTGCTTGAGAGCTAAAAGGAGCACTGTTCCAAAGACACAGTACCACTTACCAGTATCAGCACCAAATAATACAATAGGTGGAGCCTCTGGACTGCAGAACTCATTTTTGCAGTAGTGTCAGGGACTGAAAGGACCTCACTGGACATGTACTCCGTACCTAACTCAAGCCCTAGATTTTTTTGGATGTCCAAGGCTTTGTAAGGAATCTGCCTGCTGCTTCTCTCTCCAGGGCTAGGCCTCTATCACCTAACACATAGATTTAGCAGCCTCGGGCAACTCATTTGCTCCAGCCCTAGCTAAAGTTAAGACAAGGAAAAGTAGAGAACACATGTATCAGGTTCAGTAACCTTGTCTTCCCTTGTTGTGTGAGTGAAATCCCATTATTTTGCGCTTCTTCAGAGGAGTTTAGGACTTTTCAGTTGAATCTTTTTGGCTTATGTCAACTTCTATACTAGCCACTTACCAGAGAGCATATAGGGGAAAGCAGGTAACCTTGTCAAAAGATTTAAATGTTTTTTATTGTTATATTGGCTCTCTGGTTGCTTAGGTAGTGCAGGAGAGGACAAAATAATAAAGTCCTCCTTTTACCCTCCCCAAGGGTAAAAGGAAATGGTTTCTTTTCAGCTAGAAGATTTGTTTGGCAAACATTCACATGGAGGTAGCAGTTTTCAAATCTGTTGCTCTCTCAGTATCTTTTAAATTGAGGTAGATCGTTCAGGCAAATTAAGAACTATTACAAAGATCCCACGAAGAAGCCAAGATCCTTGTAGATTCTCAGAGAAATAAGACAAAACTAGAGTTACGCTCATGCCAGGCTACTACGGTATTATTCAGGGCAAACTTTGAGTTACACCTCTTGATTCAACCACCATCACATGACTGCAGTTCAAACTCTGAGTCATTCCAGACACCACATTGCAGAACTAAGGCCAAACTCTGCACCATGAGCAGTGGTTTTTCATTTGACAGCTTGGATGCTAGTGGGATGAGCTTAGAAAATAGAAAGTTTTCTGCTAAGGTACGGGGCATTTTTATCCTTATTTATTGGGCCAAATGGAAACATTTTTCACTATGGATTTCTCTTCACAATTTTTATTCATTAGAGCAGTGGAGAACAACCTTTTTGGCAGGCATGTCACAGTTTAGCCCCACACTATCTGAATATCACTCTGCTCTTTCCCTGCTCAATATGTTGCTCTGCTTTTTGCTCCTTGTCCTGTGCTCCCTGTCCAATCTGTTGCTCTGTTTTCTGCTTCTTTCCCTGTCTGTCACTCTGCCTCCTATTTCCTCCCCAATCTACTGTGTGCTACACACAGGAGCAGCTCATGCTACTTGTGGCATGTATTCAGATTTTATTTTTGAAAAACTGAATTAAAAAAAAATTTGACTTTTTGAAAGCTTAAATATACATCTCATCTTTCTGTAGTTTTCCCCTTCTTGGGACCTACATAGTTTCTGTTCTGTTTCTGATGACACCTCTTTTTGAACCTGCATTTTCTTCTTCAGATCGTCTGTCTATTAAGATGGCATTCCTTTTGCACAGTGTGTGGGTTCACAGGGTGAGTGACATCCAAGCGTTCTTGGAAGAAACAGTTTATATCTCTTTCCATAAGGATAGATTTACTTGCCCCAAATTTTTCCTAAAGTGATCTGAGACATCCACTTAAATCAGTTTATTTATCAGTGATCTTTCCAGCACCTCATTCATCTGCTGCAGACATGGGCAGATCTAGGAATTCAAAACCAGGAGTGGTGTGTGAGATGCCAGTGGTGGCACAAGGGTGGTTGTCCCCCACCTCTTACCCTCACCCTCCACTGTGCAGACCAGACAGTGCAGCAGGAGCTTTGAGGACTATTTTAATAGATTTCATAGATTCCATAGACATCACTGCTGGAAGGAACCTTGTAAGATCATCAGGTCTAGCTCCCTGCCCAAGGGGCAGAAAGTCAGCTAGGGTCAAATGATCCTAGCAAGATAAACATCCAAATGTTTCTTAAAAGTGTCCAGAGGAGGTGCTTGCACCACCTCTGGAGGGAGTCTATTCCAGGCCTTGAGGCTTGGACAGTAAAGAAGTTTTTCCTTATGGCCAACCTAAAATGGTCTTGCAGGAGTTTGTGACCCTTGCACCTTGTCATCCCTTGGGGTGCTCTGGTGAACAGGTGCCCCGCAGATCCTGATGCACACCTCTTATGTACTTACAGGATGCCACCAAATCACCCCTGAGCCTGTGCTCCTCCAGGCTGAAGAGTCCCGTGACTCGCAGCCTCTCTTCATAAGGCCTGTTCTCTTGCCCTCTGATCATGTGCGTGGCGCTCCTCTGGATTCTTTCAAGCTTCTCCATGTCCTTCCTGACTTGTGGAGCCCAGAATTGGATGCAGTACTCCAGCTATCACCTCACCAAGGCTGAGTACAGAGGGAGGATGACATCCTGGGTCTTGCTTGAGATGCATCGGTAGATGCAAGCCAGAGTTTTGTTCACTTTACTGGCTGCGGTATCACATTGGTGGCTTATGTTCATCTTGTGGTCAATTATGACCCCCAAGTCTCTTTTGGTC